ATTTAAATTGTAATAAACAAAACCATAAATATCAGGCTACAAGGGCAGGTTTATTTTGCCTTTTTTGCGTGACCCTGTTAATTATCTTCAAAACCCGTTCAAGAATATAGCAGTTGATCGAAGAAGACCTCTCCAATTTGCTCGGGCCAATTTGTAAGAACGTATCCACGACTTCCTCATAGTTCTTCTTTGATTTTCTCTGGCGTCACCGTGTAATGTACAACGACTCCAACCACAAGTTATATCTAACAATATCATATCAGGATCACTTTACGAACTGTTCGAACTGTTGGTTTCGCGGAAATGGTGCTCGGTTTCTTAGAAAACCTGCCGTGACATGAATCAAGCCAGGAATTTCGTCATAACAATGGATGTTTAAGTCTGGCACGAAATCTATTGGCTAACAAGATAGATAGATATGTCACGGTTGCTTGCGGTTGTTAAAATATAAAAAAAAACACAATCGTTTCTCTACCGGAGTGATGAGAGGATAAGAGACTTCGCTCTGTTTCCTGTGCGAAAGCAAAGGAAAATACTAATGTAATATAAACTGGGGTCTTCCTAAGTTCAGGTGAGTTTTCATAACTTATTATAAAGCACCGTTTGCCATGAGAGAATTGCTATATAAATGGGTTTCAGAATGGGTTTCAACAACCCCAGCGACCACACCGTGACAGTTTCAGCGAATGCAGTTCCATCATGCTTGCTTTACTAGTAGTAATCACAGATTATCATTATAGTTCTTTTATGCCATAATTATGTATAACCTATTATAGGCTCTGAAGCCGGTTCTATCCGTTGTTCAAAGGCCGATAGTCTGGCTATAACGATCGATTGTTGACTCGCGATCGATCGACGCGATCGACGCGGTTTCGATTTTATATGCACTTCGATTTATGTACTTGAAATACGTGAAACAGATAATTATCAGCACTGTCCACAGGAAAAAAAAAAGAAAAATTGTGGTAGGTAAAGTTTGGAACGGCGAGAGAATCCACTGATGTCAAATACCCGTTAAAAGCTGTAACGAGATCATGCGAGATCGGCGAGATCGGCGAGATCATGGTCTGTTGACTATTGAAAATGGAAACACTGATCTGCAACCGAAGTTGCGAACTCATACCAGGAATTTACCTTTAAAATTCCCCTTGTTGGCCATGAAATCTCACAGAAAATATACCATTTTCATCGCTTTTGGAAAATGGAAAGAGTGTCAGTTCCACAGTTAAACGGTCTTTCTGTTTCAGCCGTTTACATTACATGTCAAAAGATGGCACGTCGAAAGATGATCGAAAGATGTCGACTAATGCACGTAACACTGAAAGCGGGTGTAAATTTGAGAAAAATGTTATTCTGCCGGTCATTTAGTGTTTTGAAAACCTTGACCGACTGGCGGTCATTTAGCCGCCGCGTTGTTTTTCACATTGGTAAAGCTGGGTACAGCGACCAGGACGACCTTTCAAGCAAGTGAAACCTTTAGTTGCGGTTGAATTTCCGATAAGATTTTCGGTATGTGTCAGCAGTGTAATTTCCTTCAAATTTACAGTAGAGTATTCTTATATTCACAATAAAACATCATAATCTGCTAAGTAAAATGTCGTAACATAAACCGGGTATCTACGGGTTCGAACGGGTGATATAAACAGTCCACGATACAGTCGTTTAAAACTTTTCGTTTTTTCTTGATCGAAAAATAATCGATGCGACTGGAAACTGCACCTCAAGATTGGTGTTTTGGCCAAGTTTTAGAGTGAAATCTTGGATAGAAGCGAAGCGACTGTCGATTGAATACCCATTGAAGAACACTCGATTTCCATAGATTTCCCTTGTTGTTGCCGCGTTTTGCCAACCAGGGTCGTGACGTCACTGATATACTTTGGTCCCATGAGATGTCAACAAACGAACGTCGCTTTGTTTAGTTTGGCCAGAATTCACTTTCTGATTCGAGATTAGATCCGCGGAGGTAAGTTAATGCCAGCCGGCCTGGGTCGTCTCGCAGTGGCGATTCTTGAAAGTAAACGCTAGAAACAATGGTTCGAGTCTGGTTATCGATGTGGCAATATTATATCAAGTGAAAACTTCTAGTTACCGGTTTGATTGACACCGATATTATAACATTTATAATCCTTCAAATTGCTAAATGGAAATTGGCATTTTTGTCTTTTTATATACAACACCACCGCTGAGCACGAAATTGTGGGAGAGACGGTATGCTCGTGACAGACTTTTGTGAATCCTAATGCTAAACAACTTTCGAGTGACTGTTCGCTTATCCCTAAGAATAAAATATTCTAATCCTCGTGTTTCATGCT